TTTGTTTTTGTTGTCATCACATACTCTCCACATGCCTGGATGGATTGAGCTCCAACAATAATCAGGAAGCTCAACATCTTCCAGAACAAAGTAGCCTTCTTGATTGACATTCTATTCCCCACTTTCAACGTTCACTATCTCCACAATCAAGTCAGTGGTAGCAATGTGCACCATATAGAAGGTGCAATGCGGCAACTCATCCAGGCTTTTTTTGACAGAATCTTCCAAACCTACAACTAAAGTGTTATAATCCTGGCTGGTGGAAATACTGTAGTCAGATGCCAGAGTGAAACCTTGCAATTTGGTTATTGTAGTGGTCAGTCGCAGAACATATTCAAGATGTTGCTACTGTATTTTAACAAAAGAGCATCAACTTACCAAGGAAAAGAAACACAAACTATTTTACACGGTGTATAAAAAGTATTCAAAACTCTCTTATTACAAATATCAGAAATAACGATTCAACTTTTTTCACCCTGAATGACAACTGCAGAGATATCAAACCTCACTGAACGGTTTCCAATGTAATTTTCCTTGTTCGGTTGGCATGGTTGTACTTGGTTTCTTTCTGGCAAACTTCTGCATTCATTCAATGTTATCATCTTTAAAAGCTTAAAGTAAAGACAGCTACAAAGACATGAGGGAGGAGCTGGCCAAAGTTGAATGGAAGGTGAGCCTAGCAGGGAAGATAGTGGAGCAGCAGTGGCAGAAGTTTCTGGGGTGAATTTGGGAGGCATGGCAGAAATTCATCCCAAGAAAGAAACAACACACTAAATGGGCACAAGGTAACCATGGGTAACTGGGATGTTGGGGGAAGCATAAACACAAAAGAAAAAGCATACAATATGGTGAAGATTAGTGGGAAGCCTTTAAAAACCAGCAGAGGGCAACTAAAAGAGCAACGCAGTAAGGGGAGAGAAGATAAAATGAGGATAAGCTAGCTAGTAACAAACGAAGATTGCAAGAGTTTTTGTTTAAAAGTTATCTAAAAGGTAAGAGTATATATTTGGACTACTGGAAAATGTGGCTGGAGAAGTAATAATGGGGAACAAAGAAATGGCGGAGGAACTGAATAAGTAAGTACTTTGCATCAGTCTTCATTGTGGAAGACATGAGTTGCATAGCAGGACTTGGAGAGTCAAGAGTAGAGGTGAGTGTCATGGCCATGACTAAGGAGAAGGTGCTGGGGGAAGCTGAAAGGTCTGAAGGTGGAGAAACAACCTGGACTGGATGCATTACATCGGAGAGTTCTGAAGGAGATAGCTGAAAAGATTATAGAGACATTAGGGTTGATCTTTCAGGAATCACTGCAGTCAGATGGAGTCTTAGAGGACTGGGAAATTGCTAATGTTGTACAAATGATTGAGAAAGGAGGGAGGCAAAAAATTGCAGACTATGGGCTGGTTAGCCTGACTTCAGTCATTGGCAAGATTTTAAGAGTCCATTATAGAGGATGAATTTGCAAGGTACTTGAAAGTGCAAGGTGAAATAAGGCTGAGTCTTCATGGCTTCAAGGGGAGGTCATGCCTGACATATCTGTTGGAATTCTTTTGAGGTAATGAGCAAGTTAGACAAAGGAGAGCTGGTGGACATGATTTATTTGGATTGCTAGAAGGCCTTTTGATATGGTGCACAGGAGGCTGCTAAATAAGATTAAAAACCCATGTTTTAGGGGCAAAGTACTGGCATAGATAGAGGATTGGCTGACTGGCAGATGGCAGAGAGTAGGATAAAGGGGTCTTCTTCAGAATGGCACCTGGTGACTAGTAGAGTTCAGCAGGGGTCTGTTGGGACCACAAGTATTCATGTTATATGTTATCAATCTGGACAAAGGAACTGAGAGCATTGTCACAAAAAGTTGCAGATGAGATAAAGATAGGTGGAGGGGCTGTGAGGAGGTGGAAATGCTGCAGAATGATTTAGGCAGTCTAGGAGAGTGGGCAAAGAAGTGGCAGAACACAATTGGGTAAGTATGAGGTTATGCACTTTGGTCAGAAGAGTACAGGCATAGACTATTTTCTAAACTATGAAAGGCTTCAGAAATTGGAAGCATAAAGGGACTTGGGAATTGTGTACTTCAGGATTCTCTAATTTTACAAGCAGGTTCAATTGGCAGGAAGGCAAGTGCAGTGCTCGCAGTCATTTCATGAGGGCTGGAAAACAAGAGTAGGGGTCTATTTCTGGTCAGGCTGTGGTCAGAGTGCATTTGGAATATTATGAGCTGTTGTGGGCTCCATATCTAAGGAAGGATGTGTTAGTGTTGGAGGGAATTCAGAAGGGGTTCACAAGAATGAGCCTGGGAATAAAGAGCTTGTCACGAGGAGTGGTTGACGATTCTGGGTCTGTACCGAATGGAGTTAGGAAGAATGAAGGAGGATCTGATTGAAACTTACAGAATACTGAGAGGCCTGGATAGAATGAACTTGGAGAATGTTTCCAGTGTTAGGAGAGACTAGGACTTGATGGCATACCCTCGCAGTGAATGTTCAACTCTTTAGAATTGAGATGATGACACATTTCTTCAGCCAGAGGGTGGTGAATCTGTGGAACATATCGCTGAGTCATTGAGTGTATTTAAGGCAGAGTAAGATAGGTTTTTGATTAGTAAGGGGATCAAAGATAACAGGGAGAAGGCAGGAGAATGGGGTTGAGAAATATATCAGCCGTGATCAAATGGCAGAGCAGACTCAATAGGCTAAAAGACCTAATTTTGTTTGTATATCTTGTGGGGTCTTACGGTCTAACAAGGCTTTGTAGTAAAACGCCACCATTGTTTATTACAATGGCTTCCTTAAACTCTTCTTCCACATTCTTCTCTTTCTGGAGATTTCGCTCACTGACACGAAACTGCTCAGGCCCTCTGTTCAGTGAAAACTGCTTTGAAGACTATTAAGCCAATTTACTGCCATGGAGCTGTTATTTCTAATAAAAACCTGCACATACCATAACCTTCTAGATGGTTTTGCCTTTATGAAAGGGAACTGTTTCTGTGTGGGTTTCTCTATGTCACAGGATACTTCTTTTCAGACAACAGTCCAATTTTTTTTTTCTTTGTATTCTAAGACACTGAAAATACTCACTGTGGTGTTTTATTAAACTCTCATTTAAATGCATGTAAACACATTTCCAGGGTCCCCGCCTAGCGCCAACCCCCACCCCACTCCCCGGACATCATTCCAAAAACTCAAAAATGCCCTCCTTAACATAAGATAGTATTCCTATCAGTCTAAAACTATACATGGATCAATGAGCCATATGGCTTATTTGTGCTTTTATGTCTGATGGGCCAAAATCTGGAACTTCTTTCCTAATCGTACGCTGAGAATGTCTTTATCTTTGTCTTTGCCACACAGATTGTAGTAATTGAGCCAGAAGGCCCACCATCACCTTCTTTAAGAGCAATTTGAGATGCTGGCTTTGGCAGTGACAGTCACATCATGTGATTTGAATAAAGCAAAATAAACCTTGCTTTGACACAAAATTAGGTAGGAAGGCAAGTGGTGAGGATGACAGAGACTGCAGAGTGATATAGACAGGTTAAGCAAGTGGGCAAAAGCTTGGCAGATGGAATATAGTGTGGGGAAATGAGGTTTCGCATTTAGGCGGGAAGAACTGGTGAGATGAATATTATTTGAACGGAGAAAGACTGCGGAAAGCTGTAGAACAGAGGGATTTGGGAGACCTGTATGAATCTCAAAAAGCTAGCAGCCAAGTTCAATGGATCGTTGGGAAGTCAAATGGAATGTTGGACTTTAGTCCAAAGGGAATAGAGTATAAAAATCTTGCTAAAACTACCAGGCACTTATTGACTGCACCTGGAATACTGTAAATAGTTTTGGGCCCCTTATCTAGGGAAAGATATACTCGCATCGAAGGCAGTTCAGAAAAAGTTCACTCAGTTTATTCTGGGTATGGAGGGACTGTCTTATGAGGAGCAGTTGAGTAGTTTGGGTGTTTACTCATTGGAGTTTAGAACAATGAGATGTTGTTGAATCATAGAAGATTCTTGGGGAACTTGACAGAGTAGATTGGGAGAAGTTATTTCCCCCTGTCGGGGAGTTTGGGACGAGAGGTCATAATCTCAGAATAAAGGTACACGTGTTTAAGGTAGATACGAGGAGGAATTTCTTGAGGGTAGCGAATTTGTATAATGTTTTGCCACAGGGTTGTCAAGGCTGTGTTTGACAATTTTTGTTAACTTTAGTTTGAAACATTTGACTCTGTATTTACCAGTCTAGGTTTAAAGGCTGTTGGTATTCATTTCAAAACGGATATTTTGCATTCTTTCTGCTCAAGAAAGCAATTCTGGAAATACTTGCAGTAATCTTCCTGAGAAACATTAACAGAATTATTTAATGCTTCAGCTTTGTTTTTGTTTTCAAACAAACAGGGGGTTAATTGGTATCTCATGATGCCTGCATATCTTGTCAGTTATTTTTGAGAAATGTAATTTCCTTCATGAATCATGTTTCATTGTTTACAAAACTGAAGTTTTTGATACACCATCATGAAAATTTGAACTTTTACACGCCTTAACCAATGGTAAACCTATTTATCTTTAATTCTGAGATTTTTTTAAAATTAACAAAATAGAACTCCTTTCTTTTATTTATGTATTTTATGTTATACCACAATTTTATGTTCCTATCTTTATTTCGAAATTGACAAGTATTTAGAGGTAAAATCATAAAATGGGCATTTTAAAATACAATGAATTCAAAGTGACTTCTGTTACAGCTCTGTATTTTCAGTTGTTTTGAATTTGTTATGGGTAATCTCAAGTTTAAAATTGCATGTGTTAAGGTTACATTGGATTTTTAACCTGAATAATAATAGAGCTTTCTGTTCAGTTGGGGTGACCTACCATGACACTGCTAGGCAACAAAGAGGAGTTTTCTGTGTAAATTGCCAATGGTAGCAGGCAGGATATCCCCCAATCAGCTGTATGCTCTGCTGAAAAGCCAGCACTGACGGATGAGCTCGTTCAGTCAGCTGGTAGGAATGAAGTGAAAACTGTAGACAGTAAGAACAAGGCAGTGTATGTCAATTTGGCTTCTTTGTGGGTGGGAAAGCATGAAAATCAAAAGGGTAATGATTAACTGACCGTGCTACTCCAAGGTATGTCATAGTCTGCCATAAGATATTTTAGTAAGGTTTATGTTACTCTCCTCTTAAACGCAGTATAGTTATGTTAGCACTGCAATTGAATGTTTTACAGAAAAGTTGGATGTATTAGCACTGTTGGATTAAGATGTTTGCGTACCTTATCTATGAGGTGAGAACTACAAGGCAAGGTAATTATGCAATTCAAGTTGTTTGGAAGAATTTTCATAATGTTTATAATTTATGATTGATTCAAAGAGTTGCTATATTTTTACAATATACTGCTTCCATGCCATATGCATACAAATGTTTAATTGTTGAGCAGGTGAATTGTGCTTTTTTTTTTGTTACTCCAAGATTGTTAGTTCTTTCATATGATTTGAAATTATTGTCCTCATCAGTTAATGTGGATGAATGATGTGTAAGAACTGGTAGGTGTTCATGCATGCACAAAACACCTATAGACTATCTCCATTTGAATGCAAAACAATGAAGAGCTGGCTATTCAACAAAGTACTAGCTATCGGGCCCAAGACAAAATGGGCTTTACCAGCAGTCACGCAACATTTGAGTAAATTTACCCATGTCACAAACGTGTGTGTGTGTGTGTGTGTGTGTGTGTGTATTAAGTACTTTTCATGCTCTCTTTTTGATTATTTTTATTGGTCTCTGTCATCAATTATACTTCAGTCTTCATTTGCACAATTGCTCATTAATCTTGAAACGAAATTATTTTAGAATAAGCATTTGGAGTGGTTGTATTCTCTGTGGCCTAATGTCGAGCTCCTATGATTACTTACGATGTATTCCTTTGAAATTTGTGTTTGCAGTACCAATTTCAAAGAATGGAAGATGCGTATTTGTGTTTTAATGCAAAAAACTTAAATTCTTTTAATGTTACTTTAAATTCAAAGTTTTCAACAAATAAGTTGGAAGAAAAGCAACACCATTAACAAGTCAGTCCAGTGGGGTTCTTTTTTCAGATGTTTTGGAGGTTTGCAAGACTGTGTAGCATTACAATAAAAGTTGATGCCTGTGTAATCTATATGGGGTAACAAATCTTCACAAGTATGGCAATGAATCTTAAACTAAGAGAATGAAACTCATTGTTGGTTCACTTCTCTTGAGTTTCTGTCCTGTACATTTGTACTTACCTCGATCCTTCTGCTTCAAAAGCTCATGAATATTCTGAATTTCTGCAAATACTGAAAAAAATTAAGAAATTATAGGGAAGATTATAAAGGAAATCGTAAGTTTTTCTTAAAATAAATTGCTTGCAGTATTTTGAGCTTTAGTTTTATTTAAGGTTGCATTTTCTTTTGAGGCAAAGCTATTTTTCTCCTCCACCCACATGCCTTTAATTTATTTTTGTTTTGTTCCCTTAGTAGATGATTTCTGATATGCTGGGTTGCAGTTCCATGGATGGTGGCAGCCGTCTGGTATTTTATCTAAGCAGTCATATTTTATTTGTGAGCCTCGTATTGATGACATTTGTTATGAAACTGCAATTCTGCTTCCTTGCCAGATGTTCAAACATGTATTTGCCACTAGAATGCATTATATAGTGGAAAGGCTGTAGTTTTTCTTCTCAAGCCTTTATATGAGCATAAGAATTAGTAAAAGGAATAGGGCATTTGGCTCCTCAATCATGCTCTGCTATTCAATAAGTTTCTGACTGTCTCCCCTCAATCATGCAAGATTGAACCACTTAGTGTTATATCCCATTTTTCTAGTTGAAATCTACTAATTTAGCATGTATAAAGGATTCAGTTTGGATCCTTACTGGTTGATATAATTCATGCTCACAAACAGTGCATTTATGTAACCAGCCATTGATCGTTCCTGAAACCTGTTGTTGCTAAAACCCCTAACCCCATTTGCTCCATTCCCTTTCCCCAATTGTGAATTTACATTGAACAATGACTTTAGAGAATTGATATTTTCTTTTCTTGGCTTTCTTTGGGAAATAATTAGGTGCCCTTGGAAATCTAATATGACTGGGAGGAGTAGTGTAGAATATCTTTCCTTGTTAGCTGATATCCAAAATATTGCAGCTTTTTCTCAAGTAGCCTTTATATGGGCTTGCATCTATTTCCTCTGTTCTTTATTGCACAGATAGATGAAATACCGAAACAATTCATATAGTTCCTGGACTATAGAAAGTGATTTGAAGGTATTTGGCATATGTCGGAGTTCTTCAGAGTAGTCTTTTTATCCCCCTTTATTCATTAACGGTGTCACTGGCTAGGCAGCATTTATTGCCCAAAGTCAACCACATTGCTGTGAGTCTGGAGTCAAGTGACCAGGTAAGGATGGCAGAGACAACAGGGTGCAGGGCTGGATCTGCCATCCTTGCCTGGTCTGGCGTATATATAACATCAAACCTACAGAAATAGTAGGAACTGCAGATGCTGGAGAATCCGAAACAACAAGGTGCAGAGCTGGATGAACACAGCAGGCTAAGCAGCATCATAGGAGCAGAAAGGCTGACGTTTCGGGCCTAGACCCTTCACCAT